TGACTTTATTCCAGTGTTTCTTGACACCTTATCTTCAGTCGATATTTGTTACCTTACTGCCACTAGTGGCATGCAATACCGATTGGAAAATGAGCCGCGTTGACATTACACCACGATAACGTGTTTGTATCGTCTGATTGTGCTATTTTTTTTTTCTTTCGGTGACTGCACTCAAAATGAGGGATTAAGAGGGCGAGAAGCAACCTGGCGGGTTCAAGGCATGGGGAAAGATAGATAAACAGACAGTAGGGTCAGGCTGGATCGAGAGCTTGGTATGGCACTTTTGGCATCGGATTAGCTCATTGACAAACAGAATGTAGTCGTGGCGTAATTGACGTGGTAAGTAACTTTGATTTATCTGACCAGGTTGGTGTGTCACAGATTTGGACCAAACTATTTTTGGTCGTTCGACGTTTTGACGCAATCCCAGTGTTCCACTCCGTATGTCCAAGTGGTCGCAGTAATGTACTGTTGAGTTGTTACTCTCAAAACAGATTTCGGTCCTAAAAGATAGTCTATATTTACATTGAAAAAATTCTGACTCTCCACTATACATTAACAATAAGCAGTACCGGCTTCCACTCAAGCCAGGTACTTAAGACTATAATAGACAGCAGAATGACGTGGAAGAGGGATATGGATAGAAGAGGCGGCCACAAGGAACATCCACTTGAATAGATCTTTTGTGCCCCCTGTTATTAATAACTCAGTGGCCAGCTTCAGGTTATTAATCAGCCTCCACAGCTTTACCTTTAGTGTCTATGATCTTGCTTTTGGTTTTTCTTGTCCTAGTTTCAAGAACCTTCACCATACGTAGACCTTCACAGAAACAGAATTTGTTCTGTGGTACCCTCTCTTCCAGTATGTGCACGGTGTTTCTGTCTGTACTCCTATCCGGTACATGTGCCTGCTTAAGTGGCAGTGCCCTGTGAGGAGTCCAACCAGAATCCTGGTTCGGTTGCGGTTGCCTACCAGTGATTCTTTTGTAAGTTTTGCGGATAGTCCTTCTATGAATCTCTTCGCGTGCCTCATACCGTGGATATTGTTCCACCAGGTTTTGGACTCATTAAGGCTCCATTTAAAGATGTATCCTCTTTGCTAGCAGGCTGCTTAGCCACAGTAGGGTTCAGGACCCAGAGAGTCCATGTTGGCTCCCTTTTTGGCCAGCATATCAACCTTTTCGTTGCCTTTATGCCCCGAATAAACAGGGACCCATACCAAGGTCAGGTCATTAGTATCATTGACTTCCATCAGGGCCTCCGTGCAGTTCAAACCACTCTTTGCCTTCGCCTCGCATGAGGCTAAGGCCCTAAGAACTGCCTGGCTGTGAGAAAATGGTATATTCCGGGAATGTATTCCGAGCTTTTTATTTCTCTGGCGCGTTGTTCAATAGCTATGATTTCAGACTGGAAAACTGTAGTATATTTACCTAGGTTTACCGTCAGTTCGGTCCTTGGGTTCATCCCTTGACGGTTTAGGAGCCGTCAGACGTGGCAGACTTAGAATCATCAACTTAACAGAAGACGTAGACAACTACAAAGACTCGAAAAATCCACAACACCTATAATGTAAGGTTCAATTTAGGTTGTATGGCATCGTCTTCAAAAATTAAGGATTTGTACTTTGGCTAATGTTAAAAATTGTAGAATTGTTTTAATAATCTCGCTTGTCTGTGTTTTTGACGGTACGAAATAGGTTTTAGGGGTTTGGAATGTACGACGGTATGGAATTCCTACGACTTCGCTGTACAATTAGCCGATCGGTATGCCGCGTAGATGAGTAAATCGAGATCCATAACACAATAAAATTGGTGCTTATTAGTCGGTGGAAGATAATTCCGTCTCGAAATCCAAAGAAGAAAAAAAAAAAGAACCGGTTTTTCGTTACACACCCACTTTACCTTGGTGCAATCTGTGATTCGAGTATTACAGAAATATTATCAGGTGTGATATCTGTGATATCTTTTTCAAAATCAAAAAGGAGTTTGATTTCGGTCTCCTCATTCTTTAGCTAAAAGTATTATGGTTTGTTTAATATTACGCACATTCTATTATTATTCACTTCGAAGTCTAAAGTTGATGGGTACATATCAGTTTTTTTTATAATATAGTATCAGTTCATAGCAGCGATAAAAATAAATGTTCGAAAGGTTCGGCATCAAAAGCATCTCACTTTAAGTTAATTTAAACTTAACCAAGGTTAAGTCTGTGATCGACAGGTTCAGCCCAGGTCAATCCCAAAGAACTGGATTTTATCTCTTAAAGGATTTTATTAACACTTTGAAGTAAATCTGAACTTACAGATTAATAAGGAACGTTTTATTTTGTGTACGGAAATAGCAGACGAGGAGAAAGTGTTCCTTCACGTTTTGCCCGGGTTTCTTTATACTCAGACCAGCCCAGGTGCGAGATTGTTTCCCAGGATATGCGAAAGGAGAACGGACCCGTGTAATCTTCGTAGGGGAATTGTAACAGAATCGGAGGAAGAAAACCCGCCGGGAAAGCTCAAACCAGGAAAGCCAAGGAGGAAAATACTTTCCTGCCTTCTTATGAAGTTTTGACACGCAATCGTGCGGTTTACAGTTTCCGCTGGCCTCTTTTGAAAGGGCTACCTTGAACTCGGTCTGTCACTGAGGTTGGATAGAACGGATTTATTACTTTTATGACCAAATAAATTATCAAAACGGAAAGTTTCGCGGTTAAGAACTTTCGGGGATTCTGAAAATAGGCGCTTTTTCCATCGAATCGACCATAAAAGTATAAAAAGTATTTGGAGAAAACAACTTAAATATTATATAACGTAATGAGAAAGAGCTAGACTAGGACCGTTTGGGGTCCGTCTACTCTTGCTGTTTTTGACTAAAGAAGAGTCCTCACGTAACCTCTAGATTTGATTAATTACAAGCCAAAAGGAAGAATAACGTTATGGTAGAAGAAACGTCAACAAACTAAAATCTTTAGCGAGAATGAGCGGAGCTGGAAATTGACGGTTTTTGGTCCGTCTAGTCTCGCTGTTTAACACTAAAAGAAGTTATCTCCCTTAAAGTCTTGATTTGATTCCACCGGACGGACATGAAGTGCAACGTTATGGGACAACGCACAGGACAAGAACAGTGGATAAGCCGACAAACTAAAATGTGAAGAGATAATAAGCAGAACACGCAATAGGCCGTATTAGGTCCGCCTGCCTCGCTGTTAATCATTAAAGAAGTGACCTCCCGTGACGCCTAGATATGATTAATGAGAACTAACAAAAAAAGGTAAAAATTTAACACAGCATTAGATTAAGGGAATCGTCGGCAAATTGAAATATGAAGCACGAATGAGCGGAACTGGCAACTGCCCGTTTTTGGTCCGCCAAGTATCGCTGTTTATCAGTAAAGAAATGACTGTCTCTTTCATTGGATTAATCAGAACTAGCAAAATAAAAGAATATTATATAACATAAGATTAGGAGAAATGTCGACAAACTGAAATATGAAACGCGAATTGACAGTTTTTTGGTCCGTTTGGTCTAGCTGTTTATCAGTAAAGAAGTGACCTCCTGTCAATTCAAAATGACGAATCTGTGACACAAGGCACAGACATTGTAACAAGGGATAGAATCGACAAACTGAAATATTCAACGAGACAGCGCAACTAGCAGTACCCCGTTTTTGGTCCGTCTTCTAGTCTTGCTGTTTATCACTAAAGAAGTGACCTTCCGTCAATCCTTGCTTTGACTCATCAAGACGGCAAAAACGACGAATCTGTGAGATGACGCACAGACATTAGAGCACGGGATAGAATCGACAAACTGAAATATTCAAAGAGAAAGCGAACCTGGCAACAGCCCGTTTTTGGTCCGTCTAGTCTCGCTGTTTATCACTAAAGAAGTGACCTCCTGTAAATTCAAAACGACGAATCTGTGAGAGAACGCACAGACATTGAAGCACAGCATAGAATCGACAAACTGAAATATTCAACGAGACAGCGCAACTGGCAACAGCCCGTTTTTGGTCCGTCTAGTCTCGCTGTTTATCACTAAAGAAGTGACCTCCCGTCAATCCAAAACGTCGAATCTGTGAGACAAAGCACAGACACTAGATATAGATTCGGCAAACTGAAATATTCAGAGAGAAAGCGAACCAGGCAATAGACCGGTTTTTGGTCCGTCTAGCCTCGCTATTTATCACTAAAGAAGTGACTTCTCGAAACAACTTGATGCAATTCAACAAGACTATCGCATAGCATCAATTAATAAAACAACGTATAAACACCACAGCAGAGTAATAAATCGACAAAACTTAATACCACAGTTGTTACTACCATTTTGATCACCAGTTCAATTTAAAATGATTTCTTTAAGTTTTTTCCAATTTCTACATTGAAGGATCCACGGAATATTAGCAGCATAAATTCAAATATGCAGAGACAAAAGGCAGAACTGGCTATAGTCCTTTGGTCCGTCTAGTCTCACAGTACTCTAAGAAAGCTAAGTTCTTCCACCATTCAATCGATTTATAGATATCCATAAAAAGGTTGCCTCAGATAATATAGAAATGCAATATTCACTCAGGTCAAACTGATGGTCATTGATCTTCCTAATCTTTCTAATCTACCTTTAGAAAAAGCAAATCTATTTTTCAAATAATTTACTAAAGAGACTTAATCCCAGGTTACACATAAAGTATTCAGACCCAATATAATGGGTAAACTAAGCAATTGTTTATAAATGATAAAATACCAGGTCATTTTTCGTTCGCCTATTTTCACTATTTATCCGTAGAGGAGCGGTCTTCTAGTCCATAGTTTGATAATTTTGACCTAGGCCAGACATTATTGTCAGTGCAGTCAACAGAATAACCTTTTTGGCCCTGCGGTTCATCTTACCCGATTATTTACCTATCCTTAACTTGTTACAAAATAATCTGAAACGACCAGGTTGATCACCCAGTAGACCTCTCGTTCAACTTCAATAGTGCTTTTACAAGAAAAACAAAATCAATTAAGTCTACATACCTAATGGGGATGCAGGCGGCTGGTGATCCCGAAGTGAGATGGTCTCCTGGTCTTCGACGTCTGCAGATTCTTCTTCTTCCTCGAGGAGAGGCGGCGGCCCCAGGTCGTAGCCCCATCTCTGTCTAAAAGCCCGGGCACCGCCGTCCAAACGGACGCGAGGGAGGTCCACGAACAACGAATCACCAATCTATAACAAAACAATTGAATTTTAATCATTTAAAAAAGAAAGGTAAAGCGACCTCGAACCAACAGAGTATTCTAAGCATTAACAAAGAATGTTTAAACCAAATATTAGGAACAATACAAAAAATCTACTTAAAAATAATACCGATAGGTCTTCTTAAAACATCCAACATAAAATTCAGTAAACTTTGCATAACTGTGTAAAAATGATTTTTTGGAGATCGTTAGGTGCGGTCTGGTGTGACGTAGGTTTTAAAAAAATATTTTCTTTATCATGCCAACGTTTCGATCTTTATTGAGATCATCTTCAGGGTTCAAAGTGTTTGTTTTCCTTGAAGATGTGTCATTTTGTGTGTTGAACACGACGAACAAGAACGACACATCTACACGGAAAACATCCACTTTGAGCCCTGAAGATGATCTCAATACAAATCGAAACGTTGGTATGATAAAGAAAATGTTTTCTAAAACACGACACACCAGACCGCACCTCACGATCTCCAAATAATCAGTGGCTGGTGGTAACACCATACATTTGTGTAAAAAAATATTTTAATGTAAGATTTATCAAAATTTTAACGAATAGTTTACTTTTGTAACGTGCGAAAATATATCAATTCAAATAAATTTTCAGTGTTAAATAACTAGGACATCAAATGACCTTCCTACCGAATAACCAATTTTCGTCAATGCAGCTTTCAACGCAATGGATAATCGCAATCTTTAATAGTTAATACTACCTCATAAATACAACAGAAATGATTAAGGTGGGGTGAGCATCATCAGTTTGAAGGAGTTACAAACACGTCTCCCGAGATGAAAGGTGGGGTTGAGATGGGAAGTTGGTGTCCAAGTGAATCGAAGTTGCGATAGCTCAAGTGGTAGAGCAGCGGCGTATTTAGCCGAAGGTCGTGGGTTCGAAGGTCGTGGGTTCGAATCCCGCTTGTGACCCTGACTTTTTTATCTCAACCAAAACCTTAATTAATTGAAAAGAATTTATTTGGTCAAGTGAACCACGATACCTAATAATAATATTATGCGAATTGCAATCGGTGATTTGTCATAAACTAAACCTAATATACATATACCGAAAGTTATATACATATATATTTTTGAAATACATCATACATAAAGACAGGTAGCTATTTCCTGATTTCCTGATTCATGGAAAATTCTTTCATAAAAGACACTATCATCAACCAAATTATTGACGAGGAACTTCATTACACTCAGTACTAGGATGTTAGAGTAAATTGACTGTTTGTGGTCTGTCTAGTCTCGCTGTTTATCAGTAAAAACACTCTCACTACTGTTTGATTTGAACAGACAGTTGAGCAGAAAAAATATCAAAATGCGGCGAGAACTAGCAGTACTGGCTATTGTTTTACGTCCAACTTTTCGCTGTTGATCAGATATAGATCAATTAATCTAGCTCTTTTACCTTTCCCTCAATCTACCATATATCCATAAACAGGGTGCTTCAGATAACACAGAAACGCTAAAATTGTTATAATATCCTGTAACGTTAAACTGATAGTCACTGATCCACCTAATGTATAGAAAAAGCAAATATATTGATATATTACTTTAGTAGAAAACTGTATTCCATGAAACATCTAAAAGACGTATCAGGAGACAGCAAGAATACACCGAAAATTATGAATTTTCATAATGTATATTTATACATCAAGAATGAAGAGGACCAGGATGATCCATCTAGAATGATATAATATTGAGCAATAGCCCATTATGGTCCATCTAATGTTGCTGTTTTCAGTACAGAAGTGACCCACCAAAAACACCTTGATGCAATTTATCAGGACAAGTAAATAAAAAATTATGAAACAACACAAAGACGGAGGAAAATGTCGAAAGTTTAAACGACCTTCCCTAACTCTCTGATTTGAATCATCAAGATTGGAAAAACAGGACGAATTCATGGAACAACGCACAGACGCTATAGCCGAAGAGATTTGCAGCGATCATGATTGGAACTGGTTATAGCCCATTTGTGGTCTAGACTCACACTTTATCAGTTGAAAAGCGACTAGTGAATTAAATCCGGAAGTTTTTGCCGTACAATTTTATAATACAAAAACATAATGGAAGAACGAGTTGTAAATTCAGTGGATGTCTGGATGACTATGGAGTTGGCAATCTTGACAGAATACTCGCCAAGCCCATAGTCATCCAGACATCCACTGAGCTTACAATGTAAAAAAAACTGTCAAAACAGTTTACATTAAAAAAAGTCAATGAAGATGGTCTATATTAAACCGAAACGTGTCTGATGATATAAAATACCTGTTGTTGAAAATACAATTTATTTCCTATGCATTATCTTACCTAACCGCATGAGTGTAGAGAGTGGTTTTAAAAAATTGAAATCTTTGAATGTCAATATGTCTTACACCATTATTTTTTATTGATGATTATATCAGATGTAAGAAATTGTAACATTTTAATTTTTATGTTGTTTTAGTGTTCTGAGGAAGGTCAAATATAGAGCCGAAAGGTATAATACGGTATATTAAAACATAATAATAAAATAGAAATAAATTGGTCAAGGATGAAGGTGCTGTGGAGGAAGGCTGAACTTTCTAACACTCGACCCGACCGCTAGATACCGCGAGATCGTCGACGCTTTAAGCCGGGAACACACCCGATGCAACGCTATGCGACGCTACCTAATGCTACTCGACGCCTTGTCACGTTTTGGTAGGGTGTGCACATCTAAGCGACGTCAAGCGCACGCCGCGTACTGTCACACAGCGTGTATCACAAATCAGTATCGCAATCGCAATGCCTCTTTTGTTCTTAATGTATTATTTTTGAGCAAAACCATGTAATAAATTGTTAGTTAAATTTTATGAGCACAACCACGTAATAAATTGTTAGTTAAATTTTATGAGCACAACAATGTAATAAATTGTTAGTTAAATTTTATGAGCACAACAATGTAATAAATTGTTAGTTAAATTTTATTAGCACAACATATTATAAATTGTTTGTTAAACTTAATTGTTTTATGTGGTGGTTAGTGACCGTTAATCGATAATTATTCAGAAATAGTGGATGCGGTCTGGTGTGATGTAAGTTTCAGAAAAACATTTTCTTTTTCTCTCTTTATCGTGCCAACGTTTCGATCTTTATTGAGAACATCTTCAGGGCTCAAAGTGTTTGTCTTCTGTGTAATTGTGCAATCCGTGTGTGTCGTGTTGAGAGAGCCAGTGAAGTATATACTTCACAATAATGGCACAATAACACAGAAGACAAACACTTTGAGCCCTGAATATGATCTCAATAAAAGATCGAAACTTTGGCACGATAAAGAAAATGTTTTTCTGAAACCTACATCACACCAGACCGCATCTCACGATTTCTGAATAATTGATTGTTTTATATAAAGTTATTCCGATGTATTGATAAATTTTCTTCCTAACCAACTTAATTAAATAATTTTTATAAAAACTTATGAATTTTTGATCTCGTTTAATTTGGTTTACATTAAAATAGAAATGTTGTAATTAATATAACGACAAAATTAAACACTTTGAGCCCTGAAGATGATCTCAATAAAAGATCGAAACTTTGGCACGATAAAGAAAATGTTTTTCTGAAACCTACATCACACCCGAACGCATCTCACGATATCTGAATGACAAAATTAAAATTACTTAGTGTGAAATAAACTACAAAAAATATAAGTGTCCTGTACTGAAGCTACTCGACGAAAATAGTGAAATTTTATGAGCAAAACCGTGAAATAAATTGTTAGTTAAATTGTATGTGCAAAACCGTGTAATAAATTGTTAGTGGAATTCATTATATCAAAAAATGATATTCCGGTGTTTTGACCAATTTTCTACCAAACCATTAAAATTATTTTTTTTTAAATAAATACTAATGAATTTTTGATATCGGTTAGTTTGGTTTATATAAAAATGAGTAAGTTGTAATTAATATAACGACAATAATACATGTAGTTTGAATAAAAATATGAGTGTCCGGTTCTTTTGTCTCCGACTGTAATCGATGCTACTCGACGAAAATCTGGATCGCAGAGCGTAGAGTAGGGTAGCGTTGCATAGCATCGGGCAGATGTACAGGAGGTAATGCAATCTTATGGAAAATTGGATTTGCGTCAGGTAGCATCGGGTAGTGTCGCATAGCGTTCCGTCGCGTACGTGTGTTCCCGGCTTAAGGTTTGATTTTTATATGTTAAAACTATGTTTTTATTGAGTTAATTTGATATCATATCGCACATCAAAAGAAAAGTGACACAAGTGGAAAAAATTATAAAAACCGTATTATGTAGTTTTTTAAGTATTCGGGTGTGTGATGCTACAGGCAAAATGAAACAACTGTAGATGGATTCAAAGTTGCTAGGTAGCATAATGTGTCACTTTTGAATTAGTGGGAACGCACTGTCACCATTCGCGAAAGGACGACTATGGACTTGGCATTCTTGACAGATCATTCCTCAAGTCCATTGTCCAGACATCCACTGAACTTATAAAAATGTAAAAACCCGTCAAACCAATTTATATAAAAAAGTCAATAAAGATGGTCTATATTAGACCGAAACGTGCCTGATAATATAAAATGCCTATTGTTGAAAAGACAATTTATTTCCTATGGAGCATCATACCTAACCACAAGAGTGTAGAGGTGTTTTAAAAAATTGAAATCTTTGAATGTCAATGTTTCTTACATCATTATTTTTTTATTGATGATTACGATCATGTAAGTTTAATGAAAATATTATTTCTATGTTATGAAATCTGATGCAAGAAAGTAAATAAGTAAAATTTTCGTTTTTATGTTGTTTTAGTGCTCTGAGAAAAGCCAAATATAGAGTCGAAAGTTTGGCATATGTGTGAAATACAGTGTACTAAAACAACAGTAAAATAGAAATAAAAGAAATAAATAGGCCGAGGATGGAGGTGCTGTGGAGAAAGGCTGAACTTTCTAACACTCGACCCGACCGCTAGATACCGCGAGATCCTCGACGCTTTACGTTTGATTTGTATATGTTAAAACTATGTTTTTACTCAGTTAATTTCATATCATTTCGCACAAGAAGAGTGACACAAGTCGAAAAAATTATAAAAACCAAATTTTTTTAAGATTTCGGATGTGTGATGCTACAGGAAAAATGACACAACTGTGGTGGACTCAAACCTGCTAGGCGGTTTCGGATGTGTCACTTTTGAATTGGCGGGAACGTACTGTTTTATACATTCACGAAAAGGACCACTATGGGCTTAACGTTCTTGACAGACTACTCGCCAAATCCATAATCAGACTTCCAGACAGTCAGTGTCAAGCATGGGTGTGAGTATTTATCAGTAAAAGTAGAACATTTCGAGTTATTTAGTAGTTAGTTGAGTGATCTTGAGTGATCGTGAATTATTTTAGTTTCACTTCTTTTATTTCAATAACATTCTTAATTATACTATACTAATATTATATTTCAAATAACTTCCATACCCATCCTTGGCTGCAAGAGAAAAGCACGTTGAAAAGCAACGCTTGAAGCAGCAGGTTCAAAAATAATCTTAGTAAAGCTTTTTACATGGATATTCATGTTCATACATGGAACACCAATTGTTAAGTTTTATTAAGACATGTTGAAGTTGTAAACAATCGGAAAGAAAATTAATTTTTAAGAATATTTTTCAATCATCTGGGACAAATGGGGTCGTAACGGATGGAAGAGAATCAGAGATATCGTTTATATAGATTTTCAAAAGAAAAGGCCCTAAGTGCCACTCTTGAGGAACTACAAGAAGTCCCTAGAAAACTATGCTACAACACCGATTTTAATTTTACTTGAACCATTCTTCTAAATAGAATGCAACCCAACCTAAACATATACACAAAAAAAAAATATCTCAACACTCTCAACACGACACACAGCAGTGACACATCGACACACACAAAAAAAACCACTTTGAGTGAGTACAAATATTTTAATTAAACCTAAAATTTCTATATTGTGCACGTAGTTGTATAAATTTATGTTCACATCTTACATGTATTTGTGTAATTTAAAGAATTTTTATAAATCCCAGGCCCTGAAGATGATCTCAATAAAGATCGAAACGTTGGCACGATAAAGAAAATGTTTTTGTAAACCTACATCACACCAGACCGCATCTCACGATGTCTAAATAATCATTATTTTTTATGTAAATTCAAAACGCTTTGAGTTACAGCAGATTTTTTTTATTTATACAAGACTTTTATTTATTTCACTCACCTTATAAGCACCATCAGCCTTCGTTAAGGAAGTGAAAAAATAACTGTTCTTTTCAAACTGACAATATCAAAATCAACTCTGGTCCTTTACGTCCTACGTCTCAATGCATGTAACCTGTCACGTGTGACGTCACTCACCTTTCTCTAGTATTTATATGGTGGTGAATTTTCTATGTCAGACTGGTCGTTTAAACTCAGTATATTTTTATTTTTATCTGATAAGCAAATCTCTATGTCGTCAGTTTTCTATCATTTTCTTTATAGAGAATTTTTACGTTTTCTCTTGAAAAATTATGGCCTTGTGATGCATGGTTTGCCAGTTTCGATTCTTCCTTGTAATGCTTCAGTTTTTGATTCAGCTCTACAACAATTCCTTTTCCAACTGATTTATTTTCAATTTTCATTCTTTTTTTCCTTTGCCTTTTTTATTTTATATTTTATTCCTTCTGCTTCCTTTTCCAAGGCTTCTTTTTTTCTTATCCTTTTCAGCATGTCGAAGTGTTTATTCAATCGTTTTTTTTAAATATATTTTCCTTACTCGTATCCCAACGCTCTAAATCGCATCTTATCCGGTACACTCCATTTTCATTGAAACGGTTCTCTTTATTCCACCGGATATATGGCCACACATAAATAAAGAAAATCTGCTGGATCTAAAGGCGTTTCGAATTCACTTAAACAAAAATATATATAATGAGGCTCCATCGCGAAGAGGTACAAACTTCAAATCAAATAACGATTTTTCATCCAACACGCCAATGAGTGCTGGTGTTCTACAAGGAAGTATACTAGGCCCAATCCTCTAGACCATCTACACTGCTGACATACCCACACGTACAAACACACAATTCACATCCTACAAGGACGACATTGTCATCTTATCAATACATTTCAATCGTATCCTAGCCACAGAAGCAATCCAAGAACATCTCAACCTACTGACTGGTGCAATTGCAACGTATCAGGTTGAACGAGCTAAAAAACCATCGTCAAACCTGCCCACCAGTGCAAACAAATAACATGATAATAACTTCATCAACCAAGATTAAAATGACTAGAACTTAGCAAAACGTATGACTACTCAGACACCTACTGGGACCAAAATCAAAACTAAGCATACATAACAAACTAACCGCTAACAAAACACATCAGATCTATTCGGACTTACTGGTGAACTGTATGTTTCGTCCAAACCATCGTTTCCCTTCGAGAAATCTTTGTTCTATAATAATGATGATGATGATGATTAAAGGAGACAAGGAAGTGTTGATGTAAGGTTTACGTTCCCCAAGCATTTCATCTTTATGGCGTATTGTATTGTCTTAGTTCCTTAGCCCAGTCTGTTCGATCCTTCTTTTTAGGAATACTCATTGACTATTGACTAGTCATTGACTGTTGTTTCTGTCGGTTTGTTTCCAGGTTAAAAAGTGCGTTCGATTCCGTCTTGGAAACCAGTTTAAGTTGATCCCCGTAGTTCTTCAGTTTGGTTCTTTTCTGTGATTTGAACCACCGTCTCGCTTATCCAAATTCAAACTGCAATCTATATCTTTTGCAGATTTAGCTCAGGTTTGAATGGTAGAGGTATGTCTTGAGTTCTAGATCTGCCGGTGTTGGCTAGTACAAACTGAACATCCTGGTCAAGGACAACATGGAAAATTTCTACTCGTTCCAGTGCACAGGGTCAAAATGGACAAATGGAAAACTAGGAGAAAGCTAATTAAACAAAGATCTCTCGAATGATAAAAATGTAAGGACATCTGCAAAAGGTGACGGTAATAAGTAAGCATTCTGCAAGGCATCGTAAAAAATACTGGCTTAAAATTGCTGATATCAGATTTAAACAATTTGGTGTTTATTCCACAATAAACCAGAAACGGAGAGAACAAACGTACTTATTAAAGGGGTACGACGAACTGAATAAAACACAGAGCAACCAGTGAAAGTGGCCAGGCAGTTTCATCAGAGACGTTTAAAAAAAATGGCATTTTTGTAACTTATTTATGATGAAATTGTGTATTAACGTTTGGTATGAGACAAAATTTAAAAATTAACGAAAGAACAGTACGAATGGGTAGAATGTTTGCAAGTTTAAACATCTCACTTAACAATCGATTAGTCACATGGTTGAATTAGAAATAAAAATTATGTTAACTCAAAATTCTTTCTTAAAATAAAAAAAGAAAAAAAATATTGACGGAAAATGACATTGGACTACTCAATGTGGCAACAGTGGCTGTATGATTTGTTCGACGTCGATACCATCTACGAATACTTTTACAAAAAAGGTTTCGATGCGGACTGGGCTCAGAGAAAATTGAGAAAAAGCGTCTCGTGGGCTTTCAACCTCGAGGAGCCGTTTTCGACCATCCTACTCGTGACAGTCATCTACTTCATCGCAGTCAGGGTTTACGAAATGAAATTCATGTGAATTGACCAGCGACGTTTGACCATCTTCGTGCTAACGGACCGTTTTCTTCCAGATGGTGGAGAAAGTGCTATCCTAAGAAGAAGAAAAAGGACCACAAGATGGATCTGGTCCGCTGGCTTAAATTTCAAGACTACAAGAGGAGGGAGTTGGCGAGGAAGACGATCGAACTGGCCGCACAGGCCAAACTGCCCGATATCGAAAGGTAATAAATTGAATTTGTTCAATATTCGCCTTAATCTCATAAGATTTTTTGTAGATCTAGGGCCGCTTGGAGGGACAGCGTCATGATGAAAAGCCTCAACAGGAAGAAATGGCTCGAGGAAGAGATGAAAAAAATCGTCACACAGTTGAGGAGGCTCCAAATGTGCAACAACTGCTATTCGTCGTGCTGCATGGACAGAAACGTCCTGGACAGAAAGAACCGATAATTCAGACAAAACTAACCTACAATAAAATGTCTAATTTCAGAATCTCACTTATCACTACTAGATTAGTTTCAAATTAAATGAAAGCACATCAATAAACCCAAGGTCATGTCTTCAATTTGAACAATGCAATTGTTTCATGAATATTCCTTAATATTTCCATGTTTTCTTTTAACCAACGTCGATCAAGTCTCTTGTGAAGCGTATCAGGTGCAGAGGGGTCGAGTTTGGATAGATCGAGAGATCGGTATGAAACATTGTGAAAGCTTGGATAATTTGTCTAAAACTTTGATTGGAACGATTAGATGGCTTGGCAGACCCCAAGTTCCACTTCGTATGTCCAAAGTCTTCACAACACTGACACTATGGCCAGCACTCCACTCAATATGAGAGATTAAGGGGCGTAGAAGTCTTGAGTCCATCGTCGGTAAAATCAACTTGGCGGAGATAGATGATGGGTTGGTATGAAACTTTTGGGATCGGGAGCAGATCAGTTAGTAGACAAAAGAATGTTGATGTTGTGGATGTGAGGTCTGGGGGGCATTTAAAGCAACGTGGCGAATTCTCGGGATGGGAAAATACAGATAAATCTTGGGCAGTAGAGTCAGGATGGATCGACAGCTTGGTGTGGAACTTTTGGAAGTAGGATCGGATCAGGTCGTTGACTAATGTAGTTGTAGTGAGGAAAGTGATGTAGAAAGAAGTTTTGGCGATTTGTCTGAGGACTTTTCATTATTGCATGCGCTCAATGTTAGATAGCTTGGCAGAACCCCAATAGTTCCAGTAATGCCCAAAGTTGGCAGAATAAAATCTTTGAATGAGGTTAGGTTAGTTAGGTTTGACGGTCACGTCGGATTTCGTTCATTGAGGTCTTCGTAGCTGTCCAAGTGTGAACTTGTGTCTCCTAAGTCGTGTACGGTCCTCGTCAGTCTCTTGTCTAGGTGTAGACCTAAATATTTGATTTGAATGGTTGGCAAGGCTGGTTTTGTCATTGTTAAAGTACACTGAGTACATTTTTCATCATTCAGTCTTGTACTCGGCTTTTCGCACCAGTTATCGATAAGCACAAGGTGTTCTTGGTTGTTGGACGTATCGAAAGGGATGGTTAAGGATGGTCGCTTTAAACCACTTATAGTCAAATAATTTTAACCATCCAAGTTGTTCATGGGGTGTCGTTTGGCATTCACAACAATACACGCTTCTTTAGACAAAATGTCCATAATTGTGGCGACTAAGATGTGAGATCTAAATAGCATCCCTCAACAATAGAGAAGGTTATAATTGTTAGGAGTGCCATCTAGTTTTCATTACAATAATTATCACAACTGTGGGTATATCATTCTGCATCATTAATACGTCATAAAATCATTTTCACAAATATCTATATGAAAAGATCATTAGTCCAACACTCCTCAGGTGGAATTATTTCACTTTGGGGGAATTATAGTGAAATAATAAATGTAAAACATAGCCCAGGGCTGATCGTCAAGTACGACCCGAGGAGCCGGTGAATCACGAGCAATCTTTTTCCAAGGACTTCCGATGATGACCTAACGCGCGTGCTTGACAATAATTCGATACTCGAAGAGGAGAAGATCACAAGGTTTGAAGTTTTTTGACGGCTTTCATCAAACTTGAAAATTTAAAAACTGTCCCACTTAAAAATAAACTGGGACGACTCTATCGGAAACTTTGAGTAATCAAGACAAATAGATATTAAAAACCTTTCAATTATATAAACAATTTATCTATTTTTCCTCTGGTATAAAAAAAATAGATTTAGGTTTTACTATTTGGATCGATTCCATCTAAATTAAGGTCTGAAAAGGCAAAATTTAAAAGATTTAAGGATTTAATAGAAAGAAAGACTTTATTAAAAAAGTCATTTCTGTTTCAGATCACCACGTAAGTTTTGAATTGGATATTACAAAAATTTGTTGTTTTATGTGCACGGTTTTAAGGCTGATGGTGGAATGGCATCGGCATGGCTTCTTTTCTTCTTTTCCTGCAACTTCGTCTTGTTTTCTTCTGCCCTGGACCAGATCGCCTTGGGTAAAAACAGCGAAGTAGAGAGAAACATAAAAATCGAAGAACTGCTCACTCTGACGAGGAAAATGCTTCAAGAGAGCATCAGGGTACGTGAGCCCTTTTCCCCTCGAGTGAATTTGACGGTTTAATACTTTGCACTTTCTGCAGAAGACGAGCCATGTGCCTCTGCCCGAGGGGCTCGACGGCAAGCAAGACTCCTTATACAGGCTCTTCTTTGTAAGAAGTCTCGGTTTGACAGCACGAACTGTTTTCCAACGGTGACGATTGTTTTCAGGAGCAATCCAGGGAAATGGCGATGAGGGGCCGAAAGGGGAAGCGGCCGACATTCAAGGATCTATGCTGCATCCACACCTGGCCTCCTGAGAATCTATCCGAACACACCAACGCCTCGAATAGAAAAAAATAGGTAAACGAACAGTTGAATTTTCATTCAAAGACGGGAACATAAGATTTCGCATAAGTTTTAACCATGTTCTGCCAAGTTATCAACAAAAGAATCAATAAAACTGTTTATTTAACAATGAACACTTTTACAATACTACCAAATCTTTTGCATGAAAACAATCTGAAGAATACAAAATACCGAATCTCAATATAAACTATATCAAAAACACATACCATCACATCAAGGTTCAAGAGACTTTTATGTTTTTAGTAAGAATATAAAGAAGGGGGGGGGAAACAAATCGCTGACGGTACGGAATAACGCCGAGTTTTCCTTCGTCATCCAGGCATCACTAACTATGATTTCGTTCAACTTTCAGGCAATTTTTTTTCGGCTTGTACTGAGCCAGGACATAATAGGAAAATAAGATAAGTGTGAACTTTTGGTCGCTCCCAGTACTAAATATCTCGAAAAAGGTGAAACTTTGACATTGTGTAATACACCACATTTCTCATAAAATCTGAAGCTTCTTTTGTTTCCTCGTTAAAAAGCTCTCCAAATATGAAACCTGAACGTTATTTAGTGTACTGAATATCTCACCAAAACTGAAACTTCTTTAGTTTAGTTGTTTACTACAAAAGATCCAGGTGAAACATGTACATTGTGATACTACATTTCTCATGAAATCTGAAACTTCTTTAGTTTGCTCGTATCCTATTTGGTTGTTCCTCATAAATACAAATTATCTCACATGAGATGAAACGTGATTATATTGTCAAATATAATAAGTATTTTAAAAAAACGAAATTTTTTTTAGTTGGGTCGTTTCCTACGATAGAAAAGAGCCAGGTGAAACTTGACTTTGTCTCTGATACAAAATATTTTACAAAAGATAAAACATTTTCTAATATACTAAATGTCTCACAAAAAATGAAACTTCATTAATTTTGTCGTTTTTTTACAAGATACAAGAACGGAAACGTCTTTCATCCAAAACGTTTAACTGAAACGTCCTTTCTTTGCTATTCTCCTATACAAATTGTCTCAGAAGAGAGGAAATATGAACATTGTCGAATATTCTAAATACCTTCCAAAAACTGAAACTTCTTCTGTTGGAGCGTTGCCTTCAAAAGATATCCCATAGAACGTGAAACTTGAATTCACAAAATATCTCACAAGAGGTGAAAAAATTGACTTTGTCTCCGATACAAAATATCACAATCTTCTAGCCAACTAAGTAAACATTGATTCGCTGAGATACTAAATATCTCACAAGAACTGAACAATTTTTTGTGTCGTTTCCTACAAAAGATATCTCACAAAAGACAAATCTTAAAACTTTTCTCTAACCCAAAATAATTTACAAGTTGTGAGACCTTTGAACTTTATTATCTTCATGCAACATATTTCACTAGAAACAAAACTTCTTTCATTTGGCTCTTTCCTACAAAATATATTTCACAAAATGTGAAACTTGAATTTTGTCTAAAATACTAAATATCTCACAAGAGTTGAAACTTTACATCTTCCATACAAAATAGAACAAAAGACAAACCTTAAAGCCAACTAGAAACCATCTCATAAGTGGTAAAAGTAAACTTTGATTCACTGAGATACTAAATATCTCACAAGAACTAAAACTTCTTAATTAAATATTTTCCTACAAAAGATATTTCATAAAAGACAATCTTCCAACTTTGGTTTTTCTCTACACCAAAATGATTTACAAAATGTATCTCAAAAATGGTGAAATTTGAATTTTTGTCTAAAATACTAAATATCTCACAAGAGTTGAAACTTCACATCATCTTCCATACAAAATACCTAACAAAAGACAAACCTTAAAGGCAACTAGAAACCATCTCATAAGTGGTAAAAACAGTAAACTCTGATTCACTGAGATACGAAATATCTCACAAGAACTGAAACTTCTTTTTTAAATCGTTTCCTACAAAAGATATCTCACAGGAGACAAATCTTCCAACTTTGGTTTTTCTCTACACCAAAATATTTTACAGAATGTATCTAAAACAAAGTGAAACTCGAATTTTGTCTAAATACTAAATATCTAACAAGAGTTGAAACTTCACATCATCTTCCATACAAAATACCTAACAAAAGACAAACCTTAAAGGCAACTAGAAACCATCTCATAAGTGGTAAAAAAGTAAACTTTGATTCACTGAAATACTAAATATCTCACAAGAACTGAAACTTCTTTTTTTAAATCGTTTCCTACAAAAGATATCTCCCAGAAAACAAATCTGACAACTTTGGTTTTTCTTTGCACCAAAAAAATTTACAAAATCAATCTATAAAAGGTGCAATTTGAATTTTGTCTAAAATAGTAAATATCTCACAAGAGTTGAAACTTTACTTTGTCACCGATATAAAATATGTAACAAAAGACAAATCTTAAAACCAAGTAGAAACCATCTCATAAGTGGTAAAACTAAACTTTCATTCACTGGGATAATAAATATCTCACAAGAACTGAAACTTCTTTTATTAAGTAAACTTTTGACGTGAGAAATTTCTCTAAATAAAAAAAGTCTAGTTTGGTCTTCTATACAAATATCTCTCTCAAAATAAAAAGGCAAATTTGCTTCAGTTTCGTCGTCAAAACAAAATATTTCCCCAAGAGATTGGTACAGTCGAACATTGACAAATAGAGAAAATTGAAATTTGTCTACTATGTTACAATGTCGCTTGAAGTAAGACACAATTTCTTTTCGGTTAATTGTAATTAATTTTTGTTAATATGCATCTTTATTATTTAATTATAATTGTAATACTTTATTTATTAATACATACAATAAATATCTCCTAAGACCTGAAACATAATTAATTTGGTATTCTCCGATAAAAATTATGTAAAAAGGACTGCAATTTTTGTAGGGAGTACGTTGTAAATGCGTTGAAGCTTTTAAAAGGCAGGATTGTGATGATCATTACTAATGCTGTACCCGATCATCCATTGCCGCGACATGGTACGATTTAACATTTTAACATATCCCACGCCTTGTGGACTTTGAAACCTGCGCATAACTCAAACTTCTTCTCCGTAGGTGTCATTACGAAAACCATTGTTTCATAGAAACAATAAACAAACGGACATTTAATACCGGGAGGTAAAGGTTGGGCCGGTGAGAAATAAAAAAGTCGGATACAGTTGTACGAAGACCGTAAAATGGTGGTGGGCCAGAAACGGTTTAACTTACCACCAAATAAAATTTTTGAAAAAATATCGCTCAAAATGTAAACGAGTTAAAGGGGAAAGTCCAAAAATAAAATTATTTGATCGACATTCTAAATCTTCTTTACTGAAACCTTCCATTTCAATTACACAACAAAATAGTGGGAAAGTCCTGTTTCAACTGCTTAAGGCGAGGTATAGAAGAAAAAAAAATCTTTTCAAATTGTAACTTTTGATTGTTCATCAATAGCGGCTAGAAAAAATACACACGACACAGACATCAAAGAACTGTTAAAACACCAAAAATATATCAGGACGATAATAAAACTATCACACAACTCATAGAGCTGGGAAAATTTTTCAAAATCTAGTTTTATAAAAGAATTATTTATGAATTTTTAAGTCTTCAGTCCTTTCAGCACCTGCATAACCGAACTTCGTGAAACCGACCGTCTTGCGGCAGCATCCCTGCATGACTGGCTTTGGTTTTTCTTTATACCCGAAGAATAATAATTTCCTTCTTACGTCTATTTTTCTAAGCTTCGCTTTTTTCCAGAACCGTGAAGGTTTCCTTGTTTCCTTTTCCTGGTCGATGATGAATTTTGCACTTATTTTTACTTATTGCTGTTGATTAAAATGATGCGGATTAGTTTTTAAAAAAATGTTATAACAAAATATGAGCTTTTTTTAAAATAATTTTCCTCCGACTCCATCCAAATCAATCTAGAGACTGTGATGCGGGTTGTAAAATTCCCGGTGAAACAACTAGTTTAGCCTCGTCCTTTATAGCTTCGAAGTGATTTATTCATTTTTCTTTTGGTTCTTTTTTCTCAAAATATACCACTAATCGTGACATGCGGTCTAGTGTGATGTAGGTTTCAGAAAAACATTTTCTTTATCGTGCCAACGTTTCGATCTTTATTGAGATCATCTTCAGAGCTCAAAGTGTTTGTCTTCTGTGTAATTGTGCCATTCTGGCGTGTCGTGTCGATAGTGCCATAAATATACAAAAAAATTTGAAATTCCTTTAGATTAGTCGTAAAAAATATATCCCACAAAAAGAGAAACTTGAACATTGTCCAATATAATTAATCTTTATGTAAGGTATTGGTTGAAATGAAAATTAATTAATTGAAAGAAGTTCTTGGCCAATGGGACCACAAAATATAATAGATTGTCCAATATCTTTCAATAGCTGAACTATCTTTAGTTTGGTCGTTTTCCAGAAAAGATATTTAACAAAGGGTGAAGCTTGAATTTTATCTAAAATAGAAAGAGCTCATAAAATGTGAAATCTCTGTATATAGGTCGTCGCCTAAACAAACTATCTCATTGGGTTTTCGTTTGGTCGTTTCGTACAAAAGATATCTTCAGAAGGTCGAACTTAAAAGTTTTCGAGTTGTTAAATATCTCACAAGAGGTGAAACTTGAAAAATGAATCTTCTTTCGTTGGATCATCTCCAACAAAAGATACCTCACAAAGGTGAAATTTGAACTCTGTCTCACAAAAAGTAAAACTATACTAGGAAACTTTTTATACTGGTAGTTTTCTACAAACGATATTTCCCAAAAAAGTGAAACTTGAACTTTGTCTAAGATACTATCTCTCAAAAGGTAAAAACCTCTATATTTTTGTCGTCTTCTATACAAAATAACTCACCGTTTACAAAACTTAATCTTCTGTTGCCTCTGCAAAAAAAAACCCTTACAAGAACAGAATCGTATTTGATTTTATGGTTTCCTGTGCAAACTATTTTGCTAGAAGCGAGAGGTTGGTCATTTTCTACAAAATAAATCTCACAAAAGATCAACCTTGATTTAAGATACAAAATATCCTATAAGAACTGAAATTTCTAAATTGATGGTTTCTGACTGATACCTCCTGAAAACATTTTTTGCTAGTAGTTTCACAAAATTTCACAAAAAGTGAAACTTGAACTTTGTCTAAGATACTATCACTCAAAAGGTAAAAACCTCTACATTTTTGTCATCTATACAAAATATCTCACCATTTACAAAACTTTAATTTTCTGTTGCCTCTGTCCAAAAAAAAAACAAAAAACAAACGTATTTGATTTTATGGTTTCCTATGTTCCTATTTTACTAGAAGCTAGAGTTTTCTACAAAATAATTCTCAGAAAAAATCAACCTTGATAAAGAGAAGATACTAAATATCTCATAAGAACTGAAATTTATAAATTGATCGTCTCTGATTGAAAATAGCTCAGAAAAACTAAAAACATTTTATGCTAGTAGTTGCCTACCAACGAAATTTCACAAAAAGTGAAACTTGAACATTGTCTAAGATACTAATTATCTCACAAAAGTTTAACCCTCTATATTACTTTTCGTCTCTTGTACAAAAGATATCACTGTTACAAAACCTAAAACTTCTGTTACCTCTGCCTTGTTTCATCATTTCCAACAAAAGATAACTCACAAAGGTGAAATTGGAACTTTGTCTTACAAAAACTAAAACTTTATACTAGGAAACTTTTTATACTAGTAGTTTCCTCCAAATGATATTTCACAAAAAAGTGAAACTTGAACATTGTCTAAGATACTATCACACTAAAGGTAAAACCTTTAAAAAAATATACTAAGAATCTCACAAATACTGAAATTTTGTGAAACTTTCCTCGTCCCCTATACAAAATATCGATCTCGCAAGAACAAACATTTTTTTCATTTAGTAATATTCTATACAAATTATGCTACAAGTACTGAAACGTTTTGAACAAAATAATCGACCACAAGAAATCGAAACTTGATAAACTTGGTCTTCTACTAGATGCAAAAGTTGAGTACTAGATACTAAATATCTCAGAAGAAATGAAACTTCTAGGTTGGTCGTCTCTGGTCCAAAAATCTCTCTCAAGATGTGAAATTTTTGTTTTTTCCAGCAAAACTATTTCACGAAAAGCTGAAAATATCTCGGAAGTATTGAAAATTCTTTAGTTTGATCGACTAATTTATATAATTGTTTTGCAAGATTTGAAAGGTGTAGGTTGACCTTCTTCATTGTAAAATAACTAACGGAAGACGAAAAATGTAGCTTGGTTGCATCAATAAAAAAAATTAAACAAACTTAATATATAAAAAGCAGGCAATACTACCTTAAAAATTAGTACATTTTTGTATGTATCAATCCAAATCACATTGTAGCACACTAGCAGATGCTCAAGCGGTTTTGGAAACAGCAAAAATAAAATAAAAATTAAATCAACATAAAAAATACAACAAACAAACAAAAACCTAAAAAATTGTGCACGGGGGGGGGGGCAAAGGCAAAGCGGTGCTCACAAACGGTCAACGTGCACTAGGTTTACCACGCACCTTAACGTTGGACTTGAGACCAACGAGAGAGCCAGCAAAGATCTGCATCAGAAAGAATAAAAAATTAGAAGAGTCACGCAATGGCAAGAAATAATTCGTGACTGTAACAAATAATTGGTCGAAAACAGGGTGCCACCTATGTAATTCAACTGGAAATTGTATAAACACCGTGTTTCATGGAAACCATTTGAACTATTCGCAACCTCATCTCTTTTCTTCGGAGTATCGTTATCGCGGATCTGTAAACAGGTAACTGTAAAAGAACGGGACGTCGTCGTGTCCATGACCTGTGGCAAGCCCATGCCGAAACGAGTCCTCGCTGAAGATGAGCCCCTGGGAGTGTCACTCGGACCTCCGAAGGACGACCACTCCTCCGGGCCCTCTCATTTTAAAGATTCCGAGATGTCCTATTATTACTCGCCCCCCCGACTTATTTTTAAATTAAATCAATAATGATCCTTTTCATCCTTTCTCAATTGTCGCTCCATCTCAATCAAGCCGAAACCTCAAGGATTTCCGTTCTTAAGCTTCTTGAAAGGTGAACGTCGAAAATTCAAACCGTCTCAAAGGATCTTTGTTGTATTATGGTTTAGAGTTAATATTGGTAATTTTTAAAAAAAATTCATAGCATAACTACATGGTCTAGGAACAAAGGATCTCACTCAAGAGCAAGCGTTAAAAAAATTCACTAATTTCGTGGTCCGCTTGACCAATTAATATATTACAATTAATTAAGGTTTTTAGTTGAGATAAAAACGTCAATGGCACGAGCGGGATTCGAACCCACGATCTTCGGCTAGATATACCGCTGCTCTATCAAAAAATGGCATTGAAAAATGGCAAAAAAGGAGGGAAAATTCAAAAGGTGGGGTTGTTGTCCGAGTGGAGCGAGGTCACGATAGCTCAAGTGGTAGAGCAGCGGCGTATCTAGTCGAAGATCATGGGTTCGAATCCCGCTCGTGCCATTGACTTTTTTATCTCAACTAAAAAACCTTAATTAATTGTAATATTTAAAAAAATGAAAAAATGTTCATGTTTTTGTTTTTTCTTTCTTTTTTTTTCTTTCTCTCTTTCTCTCTCTCTCTCTCTCTCTCTCTCTCTCTCTCTCTCTCTCTCTCTCGTCCCACCTAACTGAACGGTGCAATTCCTCGACTTCATCAGAGAGCGAGCAGGAATGCCATCCGATTTGAGAATTGTCGTAGAGCACGGCAGCGAGTATTGGGTCACCAGTTGCGATTCCTGGAGAGGGAACGGGGTTGTTCTTTTGTATATAGTAATAATAGTTTACTTAGCTTGTGTTGAGAGTGAATGTATTTATTAGCGTGAATGTGTGATGTCAGAGGGTCGATTAATTGGAAGAAATTATTTGGCCTATCAGACCATTAAACATAATGGATGATTTAATAACATTTACTTTCGAAGTTTCGGGAAATATTTCGGCAGCTAGTATTTGGGTCTCCTGTTCTGATTCATGGAAGAATCGGGGTTGTTCTACTGTACATAGTAATAATCGTTGTTTGTACCTAGCTTGTATCGAGAGGGTAAATGGCGGAATATCGAGTATCCTACCGACCATCAATTAGGTCAGTTATAAAATAAGTGTATAGGTTATGTTGAGAGAGAATGTATCTATTAGTGTGATGTAAGAGGGTCGATGGCGGAACATCTAGTACCACATCGACCCTCAATTAGGTTAGTTGTAAAATATGTGTACAGGTTATGTTGAGAGTGAATGTGTCTATTAGTGTGATGCAAGAGGGTCGATGGCGGAATATCTAGTACCGCATCGACCCTCAATTAGGTTAGTTGTTAAATATGTGTACAGGTTATGTTGAGAGTGAATGTATTTATTAGTGTGATGTAAGAGGTCAATGGCGGAATATCTAGTACCCCATCGACCCTCAATTAGGTTAGTTGTAAAATATGTGTACAGGTTATGTTGAGAGAGAATGTATCTATTAGTGTGAATGTGTGGTGGGAGAGGGTCGATGGCGGAATATCTAGTACCCCATGGACCCTCAATTAGGTTAGTTGTAAAATATGTGTACAGGTTATGTTGAGAGTGAATGTATCTATTAGTGTGATGTAAGAGGGTCGATGGCGGAATATCTAGTACCCCATCGACTCTCAATTAGGTTAGTTGTAAAGTATGTGTACAGGTTATGTTGAGAGTGAATGTATTTATTAGTGTGATGTAAGAGGGTCGATGGCGGAATATCGAGCACCTCACTGACCTTCAATTAGGATAGTTGTAAAATATGTGTAAAGGTTGTGTTGACAGTGAATGTACTTATTAGTGTGAATGTGTGGTGGGAGAGGGTCGATGGCGGAATATCAATTACTCTACCGACCCTCAATTAGGACAGTTATAAAATATGCGTAAAGGTTGTGTTGAGAGTTATTTATTAACGTGAATGTGTAATGTGAGAGGGCCGATGGCGGAATATCGACCCTCAATTAGGCTAGCTGTGTAATATGAGTGGGGGGGGTAATGGAAGAATGTCGAGAGCTCCATCAGCCTGGTTGAGTGAATAGTGTTTAAATGGGAGTGATGATTTGGAACTCTGCATGCGTCGGGTGCTGAATTGAACCTAGCTGTTGACAGCCCCCCCCCCCTGCGGTGGGGACAACCTCGGTGGCTGGACGGATTAGACTGCGGTCAGCCCCTTGAATACCAACACCCGGGGTCGGTTATTCCCGAGTCCGCCGGCAATTTACTGCAATTAGCAAAACCTGGAATTGCCAGCGGACTACGAGAAGCAAATATCCACAACTCGGCATATGTCTCTCTCTCCCTTTCTCTTTTTAATTCCTTCTTCTCGTTCTCTTTCGTCTCTCTACCGCTGTTTCTTTCTCCCCTCCTTCTCACTCCCTCCCTCTGTCACGCCCTCCATTCCTCTCAAACTCTCTCTTCTCTTTCTCTTTCGTCTCTCTACCGCTGTCTCTTGCCTCCCCTCCTTCTTACTCACTACCTCCCCACTCCCTCACTCCCTCTCACATACCCTCTCTTCTCTTTCTTTCTCGTCTCTCCAACCCTATCTCTTGCACCCCTCCTTCTCACTCCCTACCACCTCACTCCCTCCCTCTGTCACGCCCTTCCTCCCTCTCACAAACTCTCTCTTCTGTCTATCTCTCTTTTTCTTCTCTGTTCTTCCCTCTCGCCTCTTCTCTCTATCTCTCTCTCGGCGAGTACGTTCAATTTAAACAAATTGCCCGTTTATTAACTTAGAAGTGTATTTCCAGATAGCAGACAGCATAAATTTCTGCACGATGTAGTGGAAATATATCTCGGACTTGGACTTGTGGTGTGGCCAAAGCGTTAAACATTCACCAAACTAGAAATATAATTTTCACCATTACAAAATAGAAAGAGAACTATTTTTATGTCCCACCACCCATTATCGGTTCTAACCTGTAAAAATACTAGCTTAGGACGATCTCCTAGGATGTCACGGATGACGGATGAACGACCTTTGGAGCTTCAATTTTTCGTGTGTCCATATGAAGGGTAACGATATTCACATTTATCGTTTTAAAAATTGTGTGTAAAGATAAGAGAAGAGCACACCAGTCTGTAGGCTTAATAAAGAGTTTTTTTTTCACTTGGAGCACACAGAGAGTGAATTTTGACCACATGTCGACGCCGGGACGAGAAGATAGGGGGTCTTCAGTTTTTTCCTCACTCTGTTAATAAACCCTTCTCAGATCCCGGCCATGATTCACTGAAAACCATCATGACTCATTACCGCACGCGATCTGAGGATAAGACGAACTCAAAGGGAGGCGGACGACGATGGAGGAAGGATCCAGGGATGAAGCGAATACGCGATCTGTGTCAAACCGACCGTTAGACTTACAGGACTGAAAACCAATTAAGCTTCTCGTTACTCACGATTCCAGGGCCTCCTCCCTTTCACCTGTTGCGCCCCGGCTTAGATCCAAGGTATTATTTCTCATTTTGAGTCTCTAACCGTCTTCCCCGGGGGTCGACCGACAAGCCAAGAAACTATCTGTTTCCAAAAAAGACAAAACCCTGTACGTATTTTAACGGAAGGAGGAGAAATCAACAATCCTATATTGATTAGACTCATTGTAAATGTTTCTAGCTACCTGCGCTTACCATTCCTTCATATTACTTATTTTTGAACAATTTAACGCTGTTTTTGTAACGTCTTTCGTTTTTTTGTGTAGTTACTGTTGAATCAATGTAGATCCTCAAGCTTTCAATCAAGGAAAGACGATCGGAAGATCTCAGAGGAATGCACAAATCAAATAATTAATCTTTATGTAAGGTTGAGAGATGGGTGAGATAAAAAAGTCAGCGTCACGAGCGGGATTCGAACCCACAACCTTCGGCACTACTACTGGGTACTAAGCAAAGTTGAGCAAGCCTCTCTGCCAAAAGTAGTAGTTCATCTGCCATCCGAAAATCATCATAATGTACGGTATTACTAGCATCGCGGCAATTTACGATGGAAAAACATAATCAATTTGAAGTATTGAATTCTTCAGAACAACTTAGGACTATCAGCATTTCTTTACTTAACAGGATGCAGGTCAAAATATGCCAGGACCTGTGGAATAATAAATTGTCATAAAATTCGTCTGGATTCTAAAAGAGATCATCAGCCACGATTTCATATCAGAGGAATAGAAAGATGGCCATATTGTCATGATTTAGCGAATATTCATGAAAGGTCTGTTTGGTTGAAATATTTCAAATTCGACATATATCAAAGAAAAAGAAGAAAGAAGGGAGGAAAAGACAAAACTGGGCGAAAATGCTTAATGCTGAAGATACCAGCTAAGCAAGAAGACAATAGTACTTGGTGAAGTCAATGAGCAAGGGATAGTTAAGAAAAAAGTTTCCTACAAAAACCTATTAACATTTGTAAGTTGGGCTTTGCTCATTTAGTCCGGAAATCCTGGAGAACTAGTTCTGTTTGTTGAATCCCCTTAATAACAAAACTCTACAAGGACAAAAATTAATAATTAGGAGAGCATGTCAAAATCATTATCAAGATCTCTTGAAGTGTATGAGG